AAAAAAAAAAAAAAAAAAACAACCAAATCTAGAAATGATTCTGAGATCCTCCAATAGAGCTTGGTTACTATTATCTCCCTCCCGAAGATCTATAACTCACATAGGTGGTGTGAAAGCTCTGAAGACTCCTACAATAAAGAATTGGCTTACCGCTGCTTAATCAAGTGCCCTATAACACTTGTTGACAAAATAAACATTCATTCATCGCGTGACCAAACTCAGATTCAGAGCTGTCCTAAGTGATTTTTATATAGCAGCATCACCAAAGGGCAATCCAGGATCAGAAAAATGAAAAAATGTAAGTAAAAGTCTTCTACTTTCTCGAAATGTTTAAAGGAAGTGTGTGTTTACTCTGGAATTAATGTAGAAGAGTATTTGTTGGAGATTTTTAAATGAACTTTGGAACATTTTAAAGAGATTTTGGAAGTCTTGTCTTATGCCTACATTTTAATGTTCCCTGATCAAACATAGAAGATGTCTAAGGTTATGGTTCTAAAGTTATGTTCTAAAGATAGGTTCTAACATTATGATGAGGAATGTTCAGAACAACTGGGCCAACTGTCATTAAATGCAATGACTTAAAAGGCAATGTTTTGTAAATACCTACGTCTAGTACAAGTGCTAATTATTATTCCCAAAGAGGTCTGATTCTAAATTAGATTTTGCCATTAACCAATTGTGACCTAGGCATGACCATCCCCATTTTGACGACAAGGAAACCAATACTCTGAGAAATAAAGTGATGTGTCTAAGGCCACACGTGGACCTAAGGTCATCTCAGTGGTTCCCAGGGCTGCAGATCCCAGCTCCGAGCTCTGTACTTGCTGTACTCTGGCTCCCTGGCCTCCTGCTTCTCAGAGGCAACCTGGCATCCTCTGAGTCTTCCCCAGTTAACCAGGGTGTCAGGTTCCCTCTGTGCCAAGCCTACGATTCATTGCTATTTCCCCAAGATCCTGACCTCAGCCACTTCCAACACAGACTGAAATGATCCAGAGTGGTTCTGGCCTCTCTGAGAGCCCTTCCAATGGTTAAGAAGTTGAGCTCCAGCCTCGGTTATAGGTCCTTTGCTCCGTGTCTATGTGGGTCTGAATGACCCTAATGACTCTGTCATGACCAATGTTCAAACCCCAAGTGTTCCCCAGAAGCTTTGGCCTTTCCCCAGGGGGACACTTACTCTAGGAGCCCTCATTCCTCAAGATTAGGAAACTTGTGACCAATGGAGAATAATTTCTCCATACCATTAAGATTCACCCGTCAACGTGGCCAAGGAACAAGAGGACACCGAGCCAACTCCTCCCCATCCTCCTGCCACTCCATGGCTCTCTGTTTCCCACCACTGACCTCCTCACCTCATTCTGATGGCCTCTCATGCCATTGTGTACTAGCCTATGTCAGCTTTGGAGACTCAGTGCTTTCAGACTTTCTCTTCCCCAATTCATTCCTTTCTCTCTAGCTCATGCATGCCTCCTGGGAGGGACCAGAAATTTTTCCTCAAGAACTTTTCCCATGGGCAGCCCAGGAAGATTGGGGACACCTAGCTCCAGGCTCCCTGGATCCCTCTCCCCCGCCCCAACTACCCTAACAGCCACTGGTAGGTGGTTGTTGGGCACAAGGGACTCACTCCTAGACTTGCAAGTCTGAGCCCCACCACTCCCTCTCCTAATATTAACAAGGCTGAGCATCTTAAGGGACACTTGCATTAACGGGACACGGACCAGGCACTTGCTCTCAAGCACTTTAGATGCCCTATTGCATTTAACACCGTAAGAATTCTATGAAGGCAGATACTATGGTTTCCCATGTTTACAGTGCAGAAAATTAAGCTTGAAGAAGTCGAATAACTTCTCAAATGTCAATACCAAGTGGTGAAACCAGGATTCGAAACCAAAATATCTCCAATCCTCAACTATTCTGCTCTTCCCCTACTCAGGTGACCTCTTCTTGGAATCAGAAGGAAAAGCAAATGTCCCCAACAGGCACATTTTACTATTTTCAAAAGAAATCCCATCCTGTGCATGTAGAAATGGGTTCACCAGAGACAAACGCCTTGTTCCCTTTAAGGATACACTACACGTTTAATTCTCAATCAGAAGTCGGTTTCAGCGGTAAGGAGAATGGAGGCTTAGTCATTACCATATCTACGATTGTAGCTCTCATATCCACCTCTCAAAATTGTGCCTCAGCAGTGTGTTCGGAGTATTCTTACACAAAGCAAACACCAAGGCAATCCAATCTGTCTAAACATTTATGTCCCACTCAATCTGTTTAAAATGCTGGGTCTCACCAACACTTTGTGTGGGATCCTGGAAGGCAGTTCCCACAGCTCATGTTGTGTTACATAAAAATATGTCAGGATTGGCAATGGTTTGTTTATTAGGTCCAACTGATAACAACCAAGTATAATTCTTCGGGTATTTTCCCAACATAGACTCTGTTAGAATAGGGAGGAAAAAGGTCTAGAGTCCCCAAATAGCAGCCCTACGATCCATTACTTTTGCTTTATTAGAACTCCATTGAAATGCTTGGAACGTAAGCCTTCCAACAGATCCTGCCCATCTGAGGCCCAGCATGTCCCAGGTTCAGGGTGCCCCCACTCTGCTATCTGCTGAAACAAGGAAGTCATCCCCATCTTCAGTTCTATCTAGTCATCAGCCACTAGGAAACAAGCCTGGAAGCATGAGGGTCCCCTCCCTGCCAGCAATGGGCTTAGGTTGGGGTACACTGCATCTGAAGAGCTGAAATGCATCGATGCCCCATAGAGTCGCAGCTCTTTATCACCCCGTTCAAGTAAGGCAGACCGACCACCATCACGCAGAAGTCTTTGATAATCACCTCAGTGAGGCCTTCATTAACTCCATTGTCCTCTCTCCCTTTAACTTTCCTTTTCTTTCTTTTCCTTTTTTCCTTTCCTTCCCTTCCCTTTCATTCTCTCCCCCTTCCATCTTTCCTTCCTTCTTTTCTAATTTTTTTGAACCTTACCATAAGCCAGGCACCGTGTGAAGTGTGGGGAGAAAATGGGAATGAAACAAACGTGATCCTTCTCATATGATGAATCCTTTCTGGATCTTAACAAAGGGGCTTCTATATTTAACTCTTGTCCACCTAATCCATTTCTTCTTCCTGAACACAGAGCTACATTCCCCAGGACCTCTTATAGCTAGCTGCAGCTATGGGACTTGACTGAGTTCTGGCCAGTGGAATGTGGGTAGAAGCAAGATAGTCTTCTCTTATTTATTTATTTATTTATTTACTTGCCATAGGGTCTGTGTGCTCACTGGAGATAAACAGGTAGAGAGGGAGAGTGAGAAATCACCCTCTAAGGGTGATGAACATGTGGCAATCCCTTCTCCTTTGTTCTCCTCTCAGAATTTCAGGCATGCACAAACACGCTCCTAGTGTGTTTTCCAAGCTGCCAGGTATGAGACTTGAACTGTGAAGGTGGTCATGTGGGATCTAGTTCCCAAATCACCATGCTACCTGCTGGCCTGAACAAGATATTCCATTCCAGACCTGGCCCATAAAACCTCCCACAAACGCTACATGCTTTCTCTCTTCCACCACACACAGCCCTATGGCAGAGGATCCACTGGTGGTCTCTGAGGCCCAAAGGACAATGGACCCATAAGGTAAAAGGAGTTAGGTACCTGAATGACCGTGTGGATCAGAGCACATCCACCTGCCCACTCGCTGAGATATGGGAGTTGATTTTACAGTAGTAAGCCCACTCTGATGAGTACCCAAATCATGAGATTAAATGACAAATTATATCTTGTTTCTTTGGCAAAGTTTCTAAGGAGATGTTTCGCCCAGGAGTAGTTAAACTTTTACCAAGTCAAGAATCTCAAACTTGGCTCAAGCTTTAATAAAAGTAGTAACCAATAGGTAGCAGCTTAATGTTGTTTGTGCAGAATTTAACAAAGGTTATTTTTAAACAAGTTGATATATGACAGGGGCAGTATGGCAAACCAGTAGAGGAAAAACAAACTATTGAACATATGGTTCTAGGCTAACCTGGCCATAAGAGAAAATTAAAATTCCATTCAGAGTCCACACTACACACAATATATTCCCTGCGAACTGAAAACGTCAATGTAAAAAACAAAACTTTAAGACTTTAAAAGTATAAATAAAAAAAATATATACTTAGGGTCAGCCAGTGGCATGGTGGTTAAGACAGCTAGATCCCACATGGCCAACTCTGTGGCTTAAGTCTCCAACCTGGTGATTTGAAAAACATGCCAGGTGCATATGTGTGCATGCCCAAAATCCTAAAAGAGAGAAAAACGAAGAAGGGACTGTGGTGGGACCACGCCCCATGAGGAGAGGGGTGTTTTTTTTTTCTTTTTTCTTTTTTCTTTTTTTTTTTTAGAGGTTTTTGCTATAGGGCACGTGCGCTCGCCAGACAGACAGAAAGAGACAGAGAGACACAAAGCAAGAAATCACCCCCCAGGGGAGATGGCCATGCCGCAATCCCTTCTCCTCCAGTCTCCTCTCGGGATCTTAGGCATGCATGCACACACGCCCTGTGTGGGTTTAAGCCACCGTGTCCAGGACTCGAACCACAGTCGACTCCATGGGAGTCCAGCAACATAGCCATTACGCTAATTGCTGGTCCCCAGGAGGGGGGTGTTTTTTAAAACTTTCCATAAAGAAAAGAAAAGAAAAAAAGAAAAGAAAAGAAAAGAAAAGAAAAGAAAAGAAAAGAAAAGAAAAGAAAAGAGCATTTATTACAATAGAAAAGAGTATCTCAAAAGGAACACAAAAGCACAAACCAAATGAAAAGATTGAAAAAAACCTGATTATGTTCAAATACAAGTTTAGTACAACAAAGCAAATGGAAAAGCAATAGTCTAGAACAGGAATTGAAAAGCTATGGTCTGCAGGCTACAGTCCAGCCTGCTGGGTGCTTTAGTTGATAAAGTTCTGTTGGAACGCGGCAGCATCCACTGACCTATGACTGCCTTCATGCTGTGACAGAACCAAGCAGTTGCGGGACCAGCAGTTAGCGTAATGGCTATGTCACTTAACTCCCATGTAGTCGGCCACGGTTTGAGTGCCGGACCCGGTGGCTTAAACTCACGCTGGTGGCTTAAACTCACGCTGGGGGCGTGTGCATGTGTGCCCAAGATCCCGAGAGAAGAAAGGTGGAGAAGGGATTGTGGCGTGGCCATCCCCTGGGAGATGATTTCCCACTTTCTGTCTCTCTGTCTCTCTCTGTCTTTCTAGCAAAAACCTCTCCAAAAACAAAAGAACTGAGCAGCTGCAAGGGAGACTCGGGCCTACGACACCTGAAACATTTACTATCTGGCCCCTTACAAGAAAGTTGAGAAGGTATCTATTATACAAGATACATAACTGGCAGAGATCAGTGTGTGCCTTCCACTGGGGCATTCGAGGAGGCACTGTGAGGGCTATTAAATGGAACAGCCTTGGTGTAGGGCAGCTAAAGGCACTGTCAGCTGCTCACACGCCAAGTGTCACACAGTGGCAGCGAATCGGGCTTGCATATATCAGCAAGGATAAGCTTCACATGAAAGCTGCGTAAAGCCACGTGGGATGTGGTGCCATGTTAGCAACACACTGAGCAAATAGCACGTATTTTGTTGAAGTACATACGTAAGTCCTGAAACTGGTAAAAAACATGCAGGGAAGCTATTCCTTGCCTTTGGTATAGCAGTTTCTGCTCAGAAGATTCAGAACAAGCTGAAATGACTAGGTGGGTTTTAGCAATTGATGGGCTCTTAAAAATCTAAATGAAATAAGGCAGAATGGTAGCATGCATTAAATATCAGTGGTGAGCACACCATGCTTTGTTATTTCCGATACTTTTCTCTACATTTAAATCATTCTAGCTTTAATAATAATAACAACAACATAAAATAAAAACACCAAAAGGCCCAGGTCACTACTATTGGATAAGCAATTAAATAGCACTACCAAGTCACAAGGCAAAGGTAAGTGTGTCCCTAAAACTTGAGGACAGTGCAGCTTCAGAATAAGATATACTTGATTTGATCATTTTTTCCTAATTATTTTATTTAACTTTATTTGTCTATTTATTTATTTAAATTTGACCAGAGAGAGACAGAGAGAGGGGGAAAGTGAGAGAGCTGCCAGGTCTGGGACTCGAACTGCGGCCGGCCATGTGGGAGTTCAACACCTTTAACCACCGCGCCACCTGCCGACCCCGATTTGATCATTTTTTTAAAGAATTATTTTATTTTATTCATTATTATTATTATTTTATTTAACTAGAGAGAGCGAGCGAGGGAAAGTGAGAAAACAAGCCAGCAGGTCCAGGACTCGATCTGTGGTCAGCCCTGTGGGAGCCCTAGCCAGCACACTTGACTTTAAACACCAGCTCTGTCACTTACGGGCTCTCATTGGCATTCTCGAACCTCCTTTTCCTCACTGTGAGAATGCAGTTAGTGTGTATCTCCAAAGTTTGTCAAGGGAATTAAACGAAATAACCTATGTAAAGCACTTTGTACAATGCAGATATAATAACTGCTCCATAAGTGGTAGATACCATAATTTCTGTATTTATGTAAGTAAAGTCCTTTCTGAGCATAATTCTGTACAACCAATACTAAAAAATGAGTAAAATTAGAAGTAACTGGAAGTCACCCTCAAAGGTAGAAAGTTTGTCAAGACAGGTAAGAATGACTTGGCTACACTTGATTTATTTTTGGTTGTTTGCTATCAGGTGCATGTGCTCACCTGAGAGAGAGAAAGGGAGTGAAAGTGAGAAATCACTCCCCAGAGGGGTGGCCACACTGCCATCCCTTCTCTTACATTTTCCTTTTGGGATTTTGGGGATGCATGCATATGTGCCCAGCATGATTCTCAAGCCACTGGGTTTAGGACTCAGACTGTTCAATTGGCCATGTGGAACTCAGTGCCTTCATGCTTTGAAAGATAATCGGATGCTGTTTCATTTCTCATGTTCCCAAAGCCACAGCATCTAGAACCTCCTCTGCAGCAAGGAAAGGTAGATAGAGTCTTGAGCAAAGGTGTCATTGCTAACCGTTGAAGTTTAAAACAGCGTTTCTTAAATTCTGGGTCTAGAGGCTTGCCTGGAAACAAAGGCCTCTAGTTAAAGCAATCAGGCTTTGTTCAAGGCAAATATAAACATACTTGTGGGTTCCAAGGAGGCATAACTTAGAGGACTGACCCCAGAGGACGGGAGGTCAGAGCAGACTCCTGTGGTCTGTGCTTTGTTTCCTGTCTGGGACCACCTTGTGGGTGCCCTGTGTCAACAAGAGGTGGCCACAGTGGAGCTGAAAAGGCAGACTGGTTTGTGGGCTTTGAAATCTCTCCCGGGGACTTGAAGAGAGGTAGCTGAACCAAGAGTTTGGGCATGAGCTGGACAGTTAGCAGTATAGGTTTGGGACAAGGACACAAAGTGGCTGAAAGTCAAGGCAGGGACTTTTCTTGGCTACATGGCTGGACAGCAAGGCGGTCAGCTGCAGCTGGCTGTCTTAGCCTGAGATGAGAAGGTGTGAAGGCAGACAGCCCAAGGCAGAGCTGGGAGCACAAAGGGCACCCTGGAGGTGCCAGCAATCCAGGCTCCTCATTGTCACTGTCACCCGTGTGCTCCTGACCTCAGAAGTAAGCCTGGGGTGGGGCAGGAGGCAGAGAACTCAGAATGGAGAACAGGCCAGGACCTTGAATTAAATAAGCCTCAATCTTTGAAATAATTATCCTCAAAAGACAATTTAAAACTGGACGAGAGAGCAAAAGTGTAATATACATATACTTGAAAATAAGTTTATATTCTATCCTATTGAAAATAAGACTTCATAAGTTACGCTTGGTTACTGAAATCTTTTAAAACACAACCGATCTGTGGACCAACAGACGGCATAATGGTTACAGTGCTGGACCCCACATGGCCAACCATAGTTTGAGTCCCTGGCCCAAAAGCTTGAAAAAACAGACTTGCTTGTCTGTGTTGATTGCGTAATTTAAAAAAAAAATTTTTTTGCCATTGGGCATGTGCAAGAGAGACAAAGAGAGGGAAAGCGAGAAATCCCCGATTACATACTTTTAAAGACGATTGGAGAAGCATCTTTATCATCCAGAATAACTAAGTCTGCCCCATGGTGCCCTGCAACCAGTGGTGCTGAGGCTTGGCTCCCAACCCTGTGATCCAACCCTGAGGTTGGCCTTGGGCTGGTTTGCTGGAGGCTGCAAGCGTAACCACTCTGCTCTGTTCAAAGAGTATAACCAGGGGGGCCAAAAGGTGCCATGGAGGTGAAACAACGCTCTGCAAAGCTGACCCACACGGGGCCGCCGTCCAAGTGTGGAGACTCCCCTGAGGGCACTGAGCATGCACATGCGCTGATCCAAGGCTGGCCGAGGCTGCCTCTCACTGGCTAAGAGAAAGAAAGAGCAGAAGTAGAACATCTCCAGGGTGGTCCCATGGCCTAGCCGTTAGGGAAGCCAGATTCCACGTGGCCAACCGCTGTGAGAATCCTAGCCCCAGCAGCTTGAGAAAATGCCACGAGACGTGCATTTCTAAAATCGCACTGGGATGCAGAAGTGAAGGAGAAAGGAGAAAGGACCGTGGCATGACCACGAACTCTGGGGAGTGCTCTCTCTCCATTTCTCTCTCATACAGCGCATGTGCCTTCTGGCAAAAAAAAAAAAAGGAGGGAAAAGAAAATTTTCCTATAATAACTACAAAATCAGTATTATCAAGCTAAAGTTTTGAGAGAATGTAAGTTGTCCCAGCCAACATCAAACAAAAGAAAAAAAAAATCAAGGTACAATTCAACTCCTTTCTCAATAGACTGTGACCGCTACTAAACCATTTTTGTTTTTCTTTGAGAGGTTTTTGCTATAGGCTGCGTGCACTCACCAGACAGAGAGAGATAGAGAGACAGAAAGCTAGATATCCTCCCCAGGGGGGATGGCCACGCCACAATCCCTTCTCCTCCATTCTCCTCTCGGGATCTTGGGCACGCATGCACACGCGCCCGGCGTGAGTTTTAAGCCACCCGGTACGGGAAACGAACCGCGGTCGACTACGTGGGAGTCCAGAGACATAGCCATTACGCTAACTGCTAGTCCCACTGCTGCCAAACCTTTAAAAAGAGCTATGATCAGGAATTGTGTTCGCAGCCACAGCCGCGTTGCTGGTGCTCTCCAACGCTAGCGCCGCCTCTAGCTCGCAGGGCTCCGGCCCAAGAAGGGGGTAAGTGAGGAGGTCTCCCCACCTGGGCTCCTACAAAGCAAATCCACCGGTGGTAAAACACCCAGGAAGCAACTGGCTACAAAAGTCGCTCGCAAGAGTGTGCCCTCTACTGGAGGGGTGAAGAAACCTCATCGTTTCAGGCCCGGTACTGGGGCACTCCGTGAAATTAGACGTTACCAGAAGTCCACTGAACTTCCGATTCGCAAACTTCCTTTCCAGCGTCTGCTGCGAGAAACTGTTCAGGATTTCAAAACAGATCTGCGCTTCCAGAGCTCAGCTATTAGTGCTTTGCAGGAGGCAAGTGAGGCCTACGTGGTTGGCCTTTTTGAAGATACCAACCTGTGTGCTATCCATGCCAAACGTGTCACAATTACGCCAAAAGACATCCAGCCAGCACGCCGCATACGCGGAGAACGTGCTTGAGTCCACTATGATGGGAAACATTTCATTCTCAAATAACAACAAAAAAAATTTGTTTTCTCTTCTTCCTGTTATCGATAGTTCTGAACGTTAGATTTTTTTTTTTCCCATGGGGTCAAAAGGTGCCTAAGTATATGATCACAGGTGGAAAACGGGACAGAAATTGGGTATTGGCAGTTTTTCCATTTTCATTTGTGTGTGGACTTTTAATATAAATGCGGGGATTAAAGCATTAATGCAAGTCAAAATGTTTCGGTGAACAATTTTCAGCAGTTCATCTTTATAACAATTACAAATAAACCTGTTAAAGTTTTCTGGGGAAAAAAAAAAAAGAGCTATGATCAGGACCAGCAAACGGCATAATGGTTATGTTGCTGGACTCCCACAAAGTTGACCGCAGTTCAAGTCTCTAGGCATGTGTGCGTGTGTGCCCACCCAAGATCCCCAGAGAAGAACAGAGGAGAGGGGACTGCATTGTGGCCATCCCCCTGAGAGGTGATTTCTTTTTCTCTGTCTCTGTCTTTTTGGCAAGCGCATGCAACCCATAGCAAAAACCTCTCTAAAATAAAAAAAAGAAGCAGTTATGCTGGTTACTTTGTAGTTCTGACCCGTCATTTTAGTCCCATTTTACAGTTGAGAAAACTGAGAAAAAAAATAAATAAATAAAGCAAGCTACGAACGATGGCTAAATGACTCTAACTCACCCAGAAATATTTTGGAAGCCTGAGAAAAGCTGTAGAACTTCCCGTGTATTGCGTTCAGAGCCCTTCCAGACAGAATCTTTCCAATAAAAGCCTCCAGATTTCTTATCACCTGAATTGGGGCATCAGAACTAATCTGAATGATTGCTTTGATTTTTTTTTTCTGTGCTGTTTTTTTTTTCTGACTACCTGGGTCCTCATTCTATTAACATCCTAATAGAGACAACAGATACAGTAGTGACTGCAGCAATGGCTGGAAAAGCTGCAGACAGCTGGTGCCGATGTCCCTGTGGCAGCCGAGGGGGATTCTGTGTAGATCCCCAGATACGGTCACAGGTCTGCTGCTTTGGGGTACAGTAAGTGTGAGGAACCAAAAGTCAAAAGGGGTACGGCTGCTCTAAAATGCTTCTCAAAAGGCAGCTTCTGTCCGATCCTCAAAGCAGTGTTTTTAAGAATTTGAAATTGTCCATACATTACAAGTGATTTTGCCAGACATCCCCCAGCCTTTCCGAAGAGCCCTGTTAGTGCCGGGCACTGTTCTAACAAGTAGAGAAACGACAGGGTTCGCCGTCTTCCTTCTAGGTAAGCCCGTAACACAGCACTAAAAATGTTGGCTCCTGGGACCAGCAGTTAGCGTAATGGCTATGTCACTGGACTCCCATGTAGCCAACAGCGGTTCAAGTCCCAGACCTAGTGGCTTAAACTCACACCAGGCATGTGTGTGTGCGCGTGCCCAAGATCCCGAGAGAAGAACGGAGGAGTAGGGATTGGGGTGTGTCCATCCCCCCGGGGGGTGATTTTTCGCTTTCTATCTCTCTGTCTTTCTGGTGAGCACATGTGCCCTATAGCAAAAACCTCTCCAAAAAAAGAAAAAAAAAAAAAAGATTAGAAAGAGGTTCGAACAGTGGTAGCTTTCATATTATCGTTTTTATCTACTAAATATTATATTTATACAAAATTAAACTTCTAATTCTTTGTGGTGGAGATACCAAACTCATGCTCAGGCGAGCGCACGAGCCCTATAGCAAAAACCTCTCCAAAAAAAAAAAAAAAATGTGGGCTCCTTCTCAGTGCTATGAAGACAATAAACAGGGCAGTGTGTTGGAAAGTGGTGGGGGTGACAGCAAATGCCCCTGAGAAGAGGTAACGTTTGAAGTGGGACTTGAATGACAAGGAGGGGTGCAGAGGCCTCTGGCTTGGCCTATGAATCCTGGGGGAACGTGAACCCCGAGTGGGAGTTACAGTGGACTGAGAAAGGACAGAAAGACAAACAGAAAAGCAGGGTCGGGGGGCCCACACGCCTCTGCATGGAGCATGCCCGGCCCTGAGCCGTCTGTCACTTCTTTCCTAGGGAAGGGGAAGTCGGTGTTCTCTACCCGCTGCCGTGCCGTGTCTTCCTTCTCATGGCTCTAAACAAGCCTCACCGGGCTCTCTCTGCAGTCTACACGTCGTTCCCTTATTTCTACCTTGGCCGTAGTCCTTCTATTTCTGCTTGCAGTGTGACAGAAGGTGACACCTCCTTTAGAGCTTTCGCTTGCCCTGCAGCGTTAGCCCTATGGCCATATCCAGTTAAAGGTTCCTGCCCAGATCTGGCCACTCCCTGCAGGGGAAGTCATGGGAACGTCTGGGGCTAGATCACTCCAAGGAGCACAAAGAGAGGTCCTGCTGGGGCAGCGGTGAGAGCGCCAGTGTGCCGGAGGGAGCAGGGAAGGAGAGGACAAGGTGAGGCCAGGGGTAACTGACCACACCCATTAGTCTCCACAACAAATGCCATGGCAGGATGGCTGCAACTGCAGAACCCCAACTTCCCAGTCCCAGAGCGAGGTGCCGGCGGGGCCTCTGAAGCTTTGCTCCTCGCCTCACAGATGGCCGCCCTCCAGCTGCCTCTTCACACGGTCGTCCCTGCGTGCTCACACCTGTTCCTCATGTCACTCCTGTGTGTGCTAGTCTCCTCTTGTTTAAGGAAACCAGGCAGGCTGGATCGAGGTCCACCCTCACAGCTTCATCTTCACTCAGTCACCTCTCCAAATGCGTTCTGAGACTTGGAGCCTAAACCAATGAATGGGTGTGTGAATGACAGCCTGTAACAGACGGCATGGAAACAAAGACCATTCTAGACTTTCTCCTAACACAGCAGGAAGGAAGCAGGGTGTGGAGCTGGGGTGCCACAAAGGGTGCCTGCGTGCCATGCTAGAAGGCACACACTGCACCAGGTGGTGGGGACGAGAGCAAGATGGCCACGAGGAGGCCCTGCAGCAGCCCCGACGAGAACACGGTGTGCACACTGGGCAGCAGGGAGCTGGAGAGCAGCACGCCTCCAGGGCACGCGGGAAGATGAGACAGGACTCGGTGACTGATGGCCCAGATGGGAGCCAAGACAAAAGGATCTGCTCAATGGAAGACTCCAGCATTCGGCTTGAGCACTTGGGGGTGAGGGGGGTGCCATTTCCTGAGATGGAAGCAGATTTTACACACCCTAGACATGTGCAGAAGAGAAACAGAGTGTCAACATACGGCTCCAGGTCCATCACTCCTAAGCCTAGCGAGAAGACACGTGGGGGAAGCCGGCTGAGGAACAGCTCAGAAGCAGCCCAGCATCTGCACCCTGTCAGTCTCGGGACCAGACGACGAGGGGAGGGAGCATGGTACTTTTCTAATTAGTCCAAAAAATGTCTCGGAAGAAGCTGGATTCTAGAAGCTATTTGGATGATGCACCCACGCCAGAGAATGTCGGATGTCTTCCAAAACCCATTACCTTTCATAATAATAGAATTTTTAGCTGAGCTTATGGCTACCCCCTCCTAAGACTACATTTCCAGGCCTTCCTTGAAGGTAGGCGTGGCCACATGACGCATTTCTGGCTAGTGGAAATCTGCATTAAAAACAGCAGGTCCTGGCCCTCTGCTCATCACCCTCCTTCTCCCCTGTCCTGCCTGCTGAAAGTATGTCGGCTGGAACTCTGACTGCCTGCTGGAATCTAAGAATTGGGACCAGACTCTAGGATGGAAATGTGATGAGTTGGAAGGTTCTGGGTCCTAAGGACTTTGTGGAGCACATCGCCATCCCAGCATTGGCTGTTTTCCTCTAGACTTTAAAGTAAAGGAAAAACCCACTTTATTCTGAGTCTTGACTACCTGCCACCGAACTAAACCTGAGCTGATACAGCAAGCGAGGGGCAGCTGGCACGCGAGGGGCACAGTCTCGCAGTGCTCCAGACATCCTCCTAACTCAGCGAGAACTGCTTCCTAGTGGCTCTCCCTCTCACAGTGTCACAGCCATAAAGTCTGGGTTGGCTTCCTAAAATGAAATCATGGTAAATACACGCTAGACGGGTAAAATGACGAGGGTAGAAGTAGCTGGCTTAAAGGAGGTAGGGCTCCGAAGACCACTGTTTGAAAGCCACAGTGATGGGGCCAGCAGATAGCGTAGCAGTTACGTCGCTGGACTCCCACACGGCCGACTGCAAGTGAGTCCCAGATCTGGTGGCTTGAAAATCACACCCGGTGGGGGGACCAGCAGGTGACATGGTGGTTAAGGCGCTGGACACTCCCACATGGCCAACTGGGGTTCAAGTCCTGAATCTGATGGCTTGCTTTCTCACTTCCTCTCTCTCTCTCACTCTCACCCTCTGTCTCTCTCTGATCAAATTAAAAAATAAATGAATGAATAAATAAAAAATAAAATAAATAATTACAAGAAAAAAAAACCACACCAGGTGCAAGTGCGTGCATGTCCAAGATCCCAGGAGGAGAATGGAGAAGGGATTGTGGCGTGGCCATCCCTCCAGGAGGTGATTTCTCACTTTCCCTCTCACTGTTTCTGTATCTCTCTCTCTGTCTCCAGTGAGTACACATACCCTAAGGCGAAAACCTCTTAAAGAAAGAAAAAAAAGAAAGAAAAACCCCACAGTGATGTTGGTATTATCCAAATGATGGCTTTTATGGTCTATCCACTAACGAGCTTCCTCAAACTTCCAGGAGTTGCCTGAAGAGTCGATACGCGCAGGGTGAAGACAACGGCAAGGGGAACCATCTATGCTGGGTGTCCCTCTGAGGGCGTGTGTGCTAGAGCCAAGAACGAAGCAGCGTGAGTAAGCACGGGGGCCATATTCTCCGTACAGCAGGGCCTGTGAGCCCCAGCGTGATCTGTAAAACATCTTTTTGTTAAGAAACAAAGTAGAAATCCACCTATACATATATGGCCAGCAAGGGTGCCAAGATCATTCAATGGGGAACTAATCTCTTCCACAATTGATGCTGGGCCCACTGGATAGCCACATGCAAAGGAATGAAGTTGAAACTC